ATGTGTATGTATATATATATATAGACTGTACCATGATATACTATACTCCAGTATCATATTTGCATTGGTGTTTGGTAGACCCAGAGTTCCCGCTGCGCCATCTCAGGCAAACGGATATGCAACGGATTGCGACGGCTTCCCAGGCTCCCCCAGATCCAGATGCTTTAAGGGAACTATAAAGGGGTTTAGGGCTTAGGGCTTCAGCATAGTACATTCTAGTCTAAGTTAGAAGCCAGCAAGTTGGAACATCCTTAACATCATGCCTGCCCTTACGCCGAAGTATAGGGAAAGTGATGTTCCAAATTTCTGGAATTCACGCCAGTCTAGTCTACTCTAGTTTTGCATGTTGTGTTATTCTGTGGGAGAGACCTGAGCTGATGTACGCGTGCTTCCCAATGTCTGCGAGACCGTTCGACAGATGCACAGCGACTTTAAGGCCTAAGCCCTGATCCCGAAGATTCTTTTGCGGCTGTGAGACGCGGAGTCGCCGCCCTGCTGTGCAGGGTCTCGCAGAGCTCTCCAGGCAGGATGCGGCGGGTGGCGCCACCCAAGTCGTCAGGGGCTTTGCCGAATTTGGCAGAGATTTGCAGAAGAGTTTGTGCAGCTTTGAGTCGTAGCGCATTTGCAATCCTCAGAAGGAGCACTCACAATCTCTGATTGACATGCTTTGTCCATGGGTTTGTTCGTTATGATTCTCACCCATGTCTGCAGTGCAAGCATGGTCATTGTCGACGAGGGCGTAAGGCATTGACGGTTCTGGCTGGAGGCATCGTACTGGGATCGAATCGTCGTGTGATAAACGCTAAACCGTAGCATTACAAGACCCTAAAACTCAAAGTCCCACACTATTGGCATCGGCGCCAGGGAGGTTCTTGCACCCCAGCCCTCAACAGCAGAAGTGGTGGTTAAGGCCGAGCCTGCGAACCTGCGAAATCCAAGCCTGTGCCTCAACGGTTTAGTATGCAAGTTGATGCAGATGTTGCAGTTCAAGGCATCGGACCTTCCGACCACAGGTTGTGTAAACCGAACCGCGCTGGAGGCTGGAACATCGGCTTGGTTACTTATTGCAACTACAACAACAGCGGGGGGCTCGGAAAATGATTCTCGGGAACGTCGCGAGGGTTCCTGAGGACTCGACTGTTTGAGAAACCGGGCGGGGACCAGGAGCCTAAATCATTGCCGATACTATTTTTGGGGGTTCCTTACTATAAGTACAATATAAATAATATAATATACTCCAAAACCAATTTAAACTGTAAAGCTCTCTATATCAGGCATGTCTAGCCCTTCATTCTCAAGACAAGGGCGGCCCACAAACACATGTCCTTGCAATGCTTGCAGCAACTATCCGGAACAGTTGCTTCGATTTCAGTACTCAGAGACTTGGTGACTGTCAAGCCAGGGAATGAGTCGAGAGCAGGTAGCCTGTGACGGATACGAGCTTGGCCGTCTCGCCGAGAGGCACGCGTAACGTCTTATCAGCCACCTGATGGTTCAACCAGAGCGATGCAGAGCATATTGTACTATGTGTTTGACAAGGAACCCCGACAATAGTACTCGTAATGATAATTCGTACCCCAGCGGGCATGCAGGCGGACTGCAGCATCGGATGACCAGCACTCCACAAACTGCTCGTCGACCCTAACCTCCTGGCCCAACCGCCCCCTCCCTCGAAAGCCCTCAAAACCCCTAAACCCAAAACCCCTAAACCCCTGACCCCTTAGCCCTAGAGCAACTTCTCAGCTGACGCCATGGCGAAGCTGCAACCTTCACTGGCATTTTTGTGTTGTCTTCTCGGTGCTGGCACGGAGCTCCCCGTGGTGGACCTGGTACCTGGGCCGGGTGCGTAATGCAGAGTCGGAATAGTTGGTAATACTATGCTTTAGGTTTCCTTACTAAAGGTAGCTTATCAGACACCCCAGAGCCCCACTGTCAATTTGCAAAAACTCCAAAACCCTATGCCCTGCTTTAACTACTAAGGGCCCCGTGGCATATCTGATTTTCGTCCCTGCTTGTAGCTACCTTTTCCGGATCGTGAGTTGAAGAACCCTCAACCTTAAACCCCTGAACCCTAAACCCTAAAGCCATAAACCCTAAAGTCCCACAGGAATCCAAGCCCCATCTTGCGAAGCCATGCGAAACCTTGCCAACCCGGAGGGCTACATACCTAGATAGATAGATAGATAGATAGATAGATAGATATATAGATAGACAGATAGACAGATAGACAGATAGACAGATAGACAGATAGATAGATAGACAGATAGATAGTTACATACATACATAGATAGACTGATAGATGGATCGATGGATAGATGGATAGATAGGTAGATATTATTTATGTATGTGTGTATGTGTGTATATATATATATATAACGCCATCCGGCTCATCGCACTGTGACTGTGAGGCAAAGGCGGACTGGAAGGAGCAGGCTTTGGAGGCAGCCCTGCTGCTAAGGTACAATACTTTGCTGGGTCTAGAGTTTAGTTTAGGATTTAGGGTTTAGGGTTTAGGGTTTAGGGTCTAGAGTTTAGGATTAAGGGTTGGGGGGTAGGGTTTTGCGCTTTGTTTGAGTATGATCTGCTACAACGTAGACTATGCCATACGATACTGGACCATCCAAGACTATACTATACCGATATTATGCGATACCATGCGACACTATACGATACCAGACGCTGCTATACTGTACCATGCGATACTATACCGTACCCCCAAGCGTGATAATTCCAGACAAAGTTCAATCGAGCCTTTTTCCGCATGTGCCTCTGGTCAGAGAGGCGTAGGACGCAAACGCATGCCATGCAGGCCTTGCAGAAGCATGCCTCCTTCTACTTGACGAACCATGGCTGCTCGTCGATGCGCGAATTGGGCAAGTGTGGCAAACAAAAAGTTCCTGAAAATGCCAAATCTCTAAACCCTAGCCAAGACTCGAAAACCCCTCAATCCTATGTAAATCTCTGAACCCCAAAAGCCTAAATCTCTGAACCCTAAACCCTCCAAAACTGTCACACATGCGTTGCAAGATATAGAATCTAGACTATAACCTGTAGTCATGCAGCTTAATCGGTTCGAGATAGTCCATGCATACATACATGTATATGTAAATATATACAACCTTAGAATGTAATCGTCAGGGTAATCTCTAATAACACCATATAGTGTAATCAGTGAAGTATGATAGCAGAGCAGATCGCCCACCTTCCACGAGTTTCAGGGACTGAAAAGTTGTCAGGATGCAGGATTTAGGGCTCTGAGGGTTTAGGATTTAGGTTTTTCAGTTTTCAGGGTTTTGGGTTCAGGGCGTTTCAGGGTTTTGGAGTTCTTGTTTAGGGCTGTCAGGGTTTAGGATTTAGGGCTTGGGCTTTACTGCCCAAGAAACTAAACATAGGAGCCTCACTACAGTGATCCTTCATCTTAGTGGCTACTCTGCCCTTGCAATCCCTGCATGGCTCCACCCCAGTTCCTTAGTCTATTACTGAAGCACCCTGCCATTCGCTGTGGATCGCCGAGGTCTTGGCGATTTTGGGCGTGGCACGGTGGGTGCCGCATTCCAGGCGTCGGAACGGCTTTTCGCGACGAAGGTGGGGTCTGGGGGTTTCGGCCACGAGCTCTCATCGTTTATGCGTAGGTTCCTGCGTTGGCTTGAGACGGGTTTCGTGTTCGGGTTCCGTGCTGGAAGCAGAGTCAGACTGTGAGGTTCAAGGCCAACGAAGGAGATGTTCAGATATTTTGGGTTCTATTCGAGGTTGCATTCCTGAAACTGCAAGAAGCACCTATGGCTCCTCCCGAGTCTCGTTATAACTCTTGTGTTATTTATATTATCACTACTCACTACATACACCTTGAAGTAATGACTTTTGCTACCTGCAGTTGGCTTCACAGATCACCGTCCAACTGCAGCCAGGAGTTGTGGAAGAGGGCCATCGACGCAGGCGAACCACAGAGGGAAAACTCTGCAATATGGGATTTCAGACAGTTCGCCTCCCCAGAGGGGGTAACAACCAAAATTAATTAGTCAATTGGTAAAGTTTCTTTTCTTATTATTATCGTTACTATTATTCTTCTTGCTATAATGCCAGGGCCAACTCCGGTAGTACCTTCCAGAACAGCATGCAAACCGCAGCCAGAAGCATTCGCATAGCACGGCTGGCATAAATACGACAGGAATACCAGTGGTTCGCTTGCATTCGCTTGCTGAATACCAGCACAGGCACAGGATTTGTTATTCAGATGTCATGACAAACTGCGATTGCGCAAACCCCAAAGCAGCTCAAGCCCCAAGTGTCGTGAGCCCTGAACCCAGACAAACCCCAAACGCTTAAATCCTAAACACCTAAGCTCTTATTGAACCTGTTACACATCACAGCTCTTGTGGAAAGTTCACAGTGCCCACCCAAAAGCCTGGGTCCCGCAAGGAGCAACGGACCTCCGGACGTTTAGGGTTGGGGGCTTAAGGCCTCAATATTGGGTTTAGGGTTTAGGCTACGGACCTTGATACTTACTGGAATAGGGTCCAGAGGCATGTTCTACTCCGACTATGCAGGCACTCTGAGGAAATTTGTTTTTAGAATATGAGGACCTCTTGGTCAGGCCCTCCGCCGAAGGACTTCCCGGTGGTGCGTGGATACTTCGGTGTAGGGGCAGTGCCTCAGTTGATCATTTGGGAACTGAGTTTTGCTAGGGATTCGGGCACAGTGACTGTAGGGTTTGACGGTCTAGGGTTTATGGGGCTGGGGTGTGTGTGTGTGTGTGTGTTATGACGTTGACGTCTTTTTGGGCCTCTTGAGCTTGTCTTTAGCCTTGGCATGCGCGGTTCCCAGATTTTGGCGGGCTTCCATTACCATTACTTCGGGGAAGTCTGCGCAGAAAACTGATTAGGAAATCCACAATTTAGAAAGTGAGCCAGTTTCATGGAACCCCAGCTTTGAAGTTACGTTAAAGCTGGTCTTTGAGTGTCGGAAGTGCAGCACTGCTAGGACTGGGACTGTCCAGACAAAACCAGCCAGCTGAACGCTTGACATGTCAGGAAGTGGTGGGATGGTTTGTTTGGAGTTCGGGCTTCGGGTTTGAGACGAACGAAACCCCTCAACTCTGCATCTTGCCTTCCTCAGTGATGGATGCAGCATCAAGGAATCTGGCACGAAGAGACTTCGCTTCGAGTGCAAGGCGTGCTAAGGGCTATTCATCCTTCATTCTATTGATGGTTGGGGCGGTCACAGGGCTTTAGGGTTTAGAGTTTTAGCGTTTAGGATTACGGGTTTGGGGTTTTAAAGTTTAGGGTTTAGGGGTTTTGGTTTTTGAGATTCAGGGTTTTCTCAACAACCCGGTACTACCAATAAGGGAGCTGGGCGTGGGAAGAACACATCTAGCCAAGTACTACGGCACATGCTGGCAATATAGATTAGCATGCGCTAGCAACCCGCACTGTCAACCGCAGCAAATGGAGGACTAAACGCAACCAGAGCTGCACTGCCGTGAAAATACATATATATATATATATATATAGATAGATAGATAGATAGATAGATATAGAGCCTTGATTAACTAGTAGTAGCATCCCTGACATCTATACCATGCTATACCCCCAGAATGCTAGTTTGTTTATTTAGGCTCCATGTTATAAGCCTTGCAGGTTGCCATTTGATAATGAACTATGGACCTCACACAGAGTGGCAGTCGAAGACCCAGAAATCCGTAATTTCAGACATGAGGATTTAGATTGTGGGATATTTGTTTGGCTTGGCGATCTCAGCTAGAACTCAGAAGACTTTGACCCAACGTACCGAAAACATGAATACCCTGCAACATGGTAGCACATGGATGAAGCAAAGCAAACTGAAGGCAGGCTTCCAAGTACCAGTCCGAAAGATCAACTTGTAGCCTTCAGAACCCGGCTGCCACCCTGGCGGGGAGCTTTGAAAGGTTCAGGGCCTTGAGGGGTTCCCCTTTAAGGATTCGTCAAGACAGTGAGTGAAGACCCTACGCCTTAAACTCCAAAGATTTTTAAAAGGCATCAGAGCTTAAACCGTAGTAATTCGTGGCCCTAAATGCTAAGGTCTTCACCTCGAGGACTCGCAAAACCAAACCCTAAGCCCTGATGAAACTCATGGCCTTAACCCGAACCCTAAGTCCCAACTAAGCCTCAAACCCCGGCCCAACTTAATCACCCACCTCAAAGCCCAAACCAAGCCCGATCCCTTTTCAAAAACCCATCGAAGAGAGCCCCTTAAACCATATACCCTGCCTCAGAGGAAGGTCTCTCTCTGGCCGGGAGCAACCGCAGCAAAGAGCTCCGCGGGAACCTGTTTCCACAGGCCACCTGTTCGGGTTAAGGGCTGCAAGGGTTTATTGTTTAGGGCCGTCGTTTGGCATTCGCATATCTACTTCAGGAGAGTTGACAAGTTGCAAGTTTCACCTGCCACTGCAGGCTGAGACAACTGTTGTGGAGCTGTGCATGCTGCATGGTTGGGTTTGAAGGTTCTCCTATGAGCATAGGAGGGTTGGGCATGACTCACCAAGCCTGTCCCGATGCGCATCAAACCGGGCAAAGCGCTGATTGAAACAAGAAACCCAACAGTCCTTGTTCTCATGATGTTGATGCAGCCACAGATGTCAGCAGTCACGACGCTCGATGACCGTGGCAGTATGCCATCGCTTGCACGTTTGAACTGCAAACTGATCGTTTCGAGCAACCGCAAAATAGGCCCCTCACCAGTCATAGCAACCGGTCTAGACCACCAAAACAACACCAGGGTACCGCTTCCAAAACGGTTTCTCCCCGTGTGCTGGCGGAATTCCGGGTACTGCCGGATTTAGACACACCACCACCCTCCTGCCCCCGTACTGGCAGGATTCAGCCAAAGTGGTGAGATTCAAACCAAAAGCTGGCCAATGCATTGGAATTGTGTTTCATACCTGCGCCACCGCGACGGAACCTCCCGGTGTCTGGGAATTAGAAGGGCCCGCAAAGAAGGTGACCCTAATTCCTGACCCATGCTCAGGGTCTCAGTTCCTCCGACATCGACGCTTTGGAGGCACCGAATAAGTTGCAGCATTCCTATGTCGCAGACCCTGCCTTGGAGTTCCCCTTCGTGGCCGTTTCTCCCGGTTTTCGTTCGGTTACAGGATTCTCGGTCTCGGACATGTGCCTACTTCGTGTCCTTTTCTTCAGGTTGTCTTTTGGTGAAGGGCTCTCGGTCTCGGACATGTACAGGAAATTGAAGTTCCAATCAGTACACAGCATCTTCTACAGCGATGGTAAAAGAAGTATTTGGTGTTGGGCTGCGCTGCTGGACTCTTATGTCGCTGGAGGAATTGTCATCCTCGTCATCCTTATTATCAACATCGCTACCAGCATCATCATCATCGTCAACATCAGCATCAACCTCATCATCGCTGTCATCGGCATCGTCACAGCGAAATTTCATGGCTCGCGCTGCAGGCATGCTTGCAAGCAACTCTGTCAGACAGCTCGTATGTGTGAATCATCCACCCTTGCGGGTCGTTGTCGGTGAGGACTCCTTGTAAGATCTCCGCAACATTCACACACATGTCACTGCTGCTTGGGCCAAGATGTGTCGGTAGACTCCGCATCCGTGCAAAGGTGTTGCCAGAAGCCATGAAGAACTTGGCCTTGCGCCTTGCCGATGGCCTTGCCGAGGCTGGGTCGGCGGCTTTCAAGTCCGACAGTTGGCGTAGTAAGGTAACTTTAGTATAAATTAGCACATTGTGGTATACTATTGTAAACTCCAGTAAACTACGCTGTCATCCGCGCTTGCGTGCTCTTGTCCTGCCTGGCTGTATCTTCTAGAAGCTCCTGCGGCGGCGTCTGCGCTTGGCATTGTATTCTGTGTTAATGTGTTGGTGTTCGTGGTGTAAAAGTGGTGATGCTGACGCTCTTGAGTGCTGGCGCTGTGTTCTGGTCTTCGAGTCAGGTGGGACCCCGGATTTGACATTTGACTCATTTTTCTTCCACAAGCACACTGTGCTCGCACTGCATCAGCAAGAGTCGAGGCATTATAACCGATAAAGGTATGTCTTTGAAACAAGATCCTTCTGAGTTACGACAGCCTGGAATGGTTCATTGGGGTTCGGTAGGTGTGTTTTCAGTCGAAACCACATTGCTGGGAGGATCCAAGAAGCAGATCCCTCGCGGGAGTTCCTGTAAACTACCCTTAGTAGTATACGGTCCCTAAACCCTAAACCCTCAGTTTAGGTTCCCGACTTTGGGGTTCTATGTTCTAGATCCTCCAAAGGGTCTGGGAACGCCGGGCCTTGGCTTCTGTGAGGTGACGCAGAGTCGCAAACTGCTCTCCCCGGAGGACCTGTTAGATGCATGCAAAATACACTGTTCTATTCTATCCAGTACGATGCTGTACTGTACTGTGATATAACGCAATATACATTAAAGCTGCAGCAGACGGACCCACCCCACCGAAGCCAACTGCTCCAAATCTTAAGGCCTAAACCCAGACCCAAAGGAAACCTGTGGAGTTGCTTCCCGAGCCCTGTTCGGAGGACGCGGCCGTTCTTGCCGGCGGCGGTGACGGCCTGGAAGCTTTCCGCATTTTGCCCGCATCAAACTGAACGGACATCCGAGTTCTGACAAGGTACCTTGCTGACATCTTGGTTGTTCCTCCAGTGCACGAGACGCTGAAAGAAGGAAGTCATGGAAACATGTGCTACAGTTTGTTGTAACTGTCCTGGACGGCTTGCGCCGAATGCCACGCTGAGGAATTGTTCAGCAGTCTTCAGAGAAGCCTCAAGAATAACATCTTCTTCCTTGGGGTTCCTTATTATGGTTATGCGATAATCTAGTTTAATTAACGGCACCATAGTACTTACAGTGTATTTTGCCACTGTATAATGCGATCGGTTATAATGTATTGTGTTTTATTATCATGCACCCTACATACATGTGTATGTATACATTATATATACAATTATACATACAGACATAGGTATAGATATACGTAGATATATACGCATACACATACATGTACACCTGTGCATACACATATGTGCTCAAATGTATATGTATGACATATATGGGTTGCGAAGTGCCACAAACTGCTAACATCAGGTCGGAAGCGTGCATAGCCTCACTCAATCAGGAATGATGCGTAGCTCAGCGGGTTTGTCCGATATGCTGTAGCCTGCTTGCTGCATGTTCCCATCTAAGGAATCTTTCGCTACTTGCCTTATGAGGGAACGAGGCGCTTGCAGTCGAGAGGGTTTAGCCCGGAACCCCTAAATCCCCAGCTCCATTTTGAAGGTGTCAAGGAAGAGCGTTGGCCAGAACAGAACTGTGCTGGAGTTCGGACCACACCGACTGGGGCAACCTGGCTTTGCAGCAGAGCCGAGATTCTTACCTGCGGGCATGGGGCCTGTCGTAAGATTTCGCGCAGATGCTGTCATCATCTAATCCGACTTCGGAATAATTACTCATACCATCTCCTCACAGTCCTTATATATCAAGAGTATACTGTACCCCGAAACCCTAGTTTGAGTATTTGGCCCCCCTCCATATTTACACTGCTGCAGCTTCGGGCCTAGACTTACCTTCTGACTGCGGGCGGGTTGTTCCTTAGGGTTCCTTGTTCTAGGTAGCATAGTCCCAAATCATCCTATTGTAGTTCTTAAGGATCATACAGGTGAGCTCTGGTTCTTCCCAGGCTTGTTTCAGTCCAAGTTGTCGTATCTTGAGCCCACCATGATGACTGCAGGGTTGAGGGTTTAGGGTTTATTCGGGCCTCGTGCTGATTTGGCATCACATCGCAAGCATTGCCAGATTGTTAAAGCTCATAGTGGCCCCTTATGGTCCCCATAATCTAACTATAGTATAAGTACCGTACGCCAAAACCCTAGTCCAATCGTCAACGCCACGTAAAGCAACCTTCATTGCTTTTCGCATTAAACCGGCTTCAAGGCTCGCTCACCCTGATCGCCCAGCCGGACGATGGTCAGGGTGCTTTGGAGCTCTTCAGAGAAGGCGAGGGCTCCAAAGAGGATCCGAGAAGTAGATCCCCTTAAGGGCTCCTCTAAGGGCCCCGGCGAGGCTTCACTTGCGGGCCGTTACAGTACCCTTGAGCGGTGTAGGTTGCGAAATCAGGTGTTCTACTTTCTGGATCCCTACAGGGGTTTGGGTCAGGCATGGGACATACTTGGCGACGGAAAGTTTAGCTGCAATGCTAATGGCATTTAAGCAGGTTTCGACCAGCTGTGCTCTGGAATTGAACCCTCCTAAACCCTATACCCCCGAGCCACAGTCAATATATATATATATATATATACATTTATATTTATATTCAACCCATGAGCCTATCTGGATCCCAGTAGGGTCGAGGAGACTTCGCTGACCGTCTAGTGTGTCAAGGCTATCAATGTGCTGACAGTGCTGACGCAGAAGACCCTGAATGACGAGATGGTGATGATGATGATGATGACGACGAGGATCAGGAAAGGCGGAGGATATAACAATGATGATGGTGACGACGATCACGATGGCGATGATGCGGACCATGATATCTACGAGAACGATGATGTCGGGCATGACAAGAAGAGGAGATGAAGATGGTGATCAAGGTGATCGTAGACGTAGTTGTTGAATGAGGGTTCCTGTAAGTCTTGTAAGCGTGTGCTGTCCGTACGGTTGCCACTGCTTGGGGCGCGAGGGCCGGCTGTGTTAAATACTCTGACACGGTACGTACATAAAAACGTACTATGCTCATGTATGTTTGATGGTGTCATCAGAGGGGGGCTCCTGTCCAGGAGAGTACCACCGCATCGCCCCTTTGCCTGGCGCTCTCTTGGTCAATGGGGGCGCCACTGAGCTGGAAAACGGCAGCCACACCCAGAACTTGTCTAGAAATCTTGTGTGCTGCTTCACGTTGCCGTTTGGTACGGCCGTAGCTTTGTGTTCTGGAAATGTGGGTTGTTCTCTAAAGTAGAGTTCCTTTTGGGTCCTTTCTATGGGGGTGCCGTACCTTTTCGGAGACCTACCAAGGGACCCTAATTTAAAGAACTACCCCTGTGACAGAATGATGCCGCAACGAGATGTGGACGATTCAACCGTCGGGGTGAGCCACACGTTAGATCAATGGCTCCGGGGTGCCACAGGTTCTGAACCGTACAAATACTATACATTGCTTCGGGCCCCAAAGCCTGTTCTGGGCCCCTGTGTGACTTGAAGCTGAGGACTGGCTAGAGCTTGTGTCTCACGGAGCTTTGCCGCTACTTGCCATGTTTGGGAAGGTTTCTTTTGGGCTTCTGGCTCTTGAGCTTCGGGTTGGGGGTTTCGCGTTTGGGACAGCTTCCCTTGAGCTGACTACTGTCAGTGGCAATGTAGCAGCAGGCGGACCGCGATCATTTCGGCAACCTTGTAGCAATGCTCCCCCGCACTCCACGGTTTAGGGCCAGAAGGATTCATCGCAATATGGAAGCTTTCGACCGATCACTAATACTATGCCTTCGGGTTCCTGACTGTACCATTATGGGATCCGGCGCGCCTGAAAGGTGACCACAGTCTCCTTTATGTAATTTCCAAAAACTGGATGTTCTGGAAGGAGAGTTTCAGGAAGTGCTTCGGAGAGCGTCGGTGCAAACTAGAAGGCGTCTCCCCTGAACAAACCCCAAACCCTAGCAAGCCCTAGAGTCCTAAACCCGCAGTACACTTGTCAGAGTTGCTGTTTGCAGTGTCTTACCGAGGGAGCCAGGCAAGGCAAGGCAACACTTGCACATGAGAGGTTTAGGAAAAAGGGGGCTCCTTACATATACCCTCATTTGTCGGAGTTCCCACATGGGCCCTAAAACCGGGGTCACCCCACATGGCATCGTGTGACGTCGACTCAGGTCACCACTGCACCGCGTCCGGCAGCCCCCAGGAGAGGACACAGGTCGAACTGCCTTCGCAGCCCGGTGCACATTTTCGAGTCTAGGGAAAAGCAGCAAGGCTACTAGAAAGTTATGTATGGATTGAAGCATTAGTAGCTTAGTAAAGGGGTCTTGAAGTGGCGGGCTTTCCTTTTGTTATACATACTTTGTAGAGGCATGAGTGACTTTAGGGATTTGTTATTGGCAGGTCTAATTCGGTCTAATGGGGAAGTTGGTGTCACGCGGTCACATTTAGGTCAAAATCGTCATGAGACCCCCTACCGATATGAGCCGATTGAACCGAATGAGCACTTGACCTTTGAGTTTAAACCCACCCTACTCAAAAGGTCTACTTCCACTACCCTGCGGGCTCTGCGCCATTGACGCCTCGGGACGTAACCGCTGCCGCAGAGCGCCGGAGCAAAGCCTCACGGCCGCCAGGCATCTCTGGATCCGTTGACATGAAGATGCCAACCACCTCGCCACCCTCATCGCCGTCGTTCTCATCATCGTCGGCGACACCATCATTGGCACAACTTCCATCATCACCAGCAACACCACACGACTGCCATGATGTTGGTCATCAGCGTCTTCCTTGTCGTCCCAATTACATCATGAGCATCACAGTCATTCAATCGCCATCGCGAGAACCATCATCAATGCAGTGAACGTGCTCGCATTGGTCCTGAAATCAGAGCGATAGCCCACCACGTTCACAAGAAAGAAGCAGGTACCACAGTGAAGATGAAGAGAGAAACCGACAACCACCCGTCTCAGCAACAGCAATGACAACGAGAAGAAAAGCAGAAGCAGCAGCCGCCGGCGCTGCTACCACTACGGTCGGATAAGGTCTTCTGGTTTCCTCAATAGAAGGTCCCTAACCTCCAGCCAGACCTCCTCAGCCATTATCCACCGCTGGATGACGCCCTTCCACAACTTGCATGCAATGACAAGTCCACGATCAACACCACCACCACAGCCCCACAACCTCGACGACCTTGTGATGTGTGCGGCACCGACCACAACCAAGACCTGAATTCTCCCAGGTTTGTGTTCAAAGCTGATGGCTTGCACGTCAGCTTGCAAACTGGCAGTGTGTCTTTGGGTTTTTGGTGGTGAAAAAATTGCTTTTTGGTTAGAGCAGTCTCAAGTTTACCTACCTACCTACCTACCTACCTACCTACCTACCTACCTACCTACTTACCTGCCTACCTACCTACCTACCTACCTACCTACCTACCTACCTACCTACGTGCCTATGTACTTACGTTCTTAGACACATGCATACATACAAGCGTTCGTGCATACGTACATCGTACATACTTACATACACACATACATACATACAAACATACATGCATAAATGCACACACATGACTCACCAACTCCCTCACTCCCCCACTTGCTCATTCATGTACACATACATGGAAGAGAGGCACTAAAAAAGAGAGAGACAGAGGGAGAGGCAACTCCCCACCACCGCCCTGGCGAAAGAAAGGAGAGGCATCGCACTACACGGCATGCAAAACTCATATATCAGCCATTAGTCCATGAATGTACGTAGGAGATTGACGAAATCACTCTAGTGTTTTAGTCTCTGTGTGTGCTTGTTTTGAACTCTGCTACTTACATGTCTGGCAGGCTTCGTGTTCAACACCCTGACGAACGGTTTGGAGCATATTACCGAGGCCCGGCAAATGCAGCTGCGGTGCTCTAGCCAAACGCTCTCGAGTGCTGAAGGAGACCAACGCAATAAATGTTAAGCTGTTGCGGCGTGTTCTGCTCACTGCCCAGCCTCAACAACAATCATTACCATCATCATAGCCAGAATAATCATCATAATCACAATACTAATTATAGCGAACGTAAGATAGATTCCTCTGAAAGCATAAGCATAAAGAAACAAACACATCTATCTGTCTATCTACCTATCTACATATCTATCTATCTATCTATCTGTATATGTATGAGTATATATATATATATATATCTGTTTATACATTTGAATATATGTGTAACGAAAATGTATTTGTAAAGCGGCCAGGCCCTCACCTTCAAGACCCACTTGCAGCAGAAATGGCTGGGCGTGCGCACCCCTTCTCCTCGATCCACAGAGCTCTGAGGGGCAAAGAAGGAGAATGTTAAATTAGGTTATATTGGATGAGGTTGTCTATTAGGGCTTGTTCTAACATGTTCTGTGCGTTTCTATTCTTGTATAGTACCAGTATCATGTTATATCAGCTTCGGCTGTATATACTCCAGTATACTAAGCTATCTTATACTATACTTTTGTAACATGTTATATAGCAACATCATAAGACGTTATATGATTGTGCTATAGTATATTTTACGTGTCTATTGTGATACATCATATTTCATCGTATGGTAATATCTTCTATTATAAAGGGATTCAGTTTATTTACCAGAAGAGGGCTTTATAGCACACAAACAGTAGGGTTTCCTTATCATGGTATCCTAAACCAAGTTCCTGAGCCAGAGCCCGGGAGAAGGAGAGAAGCCCCACGCAGAAAACGGGAAGCTTGACAGCTTCGACTCTTCCGGCACTGCAACCCTAAGCCCGAAACCCCGAAACAGGAGACCCTAAGCCCTAAACCCTTAACCCATTGGAGACAAGGGCTTCTTCAGCGGTCCTTACCGTAAGAAATGCACATGCTGCTATCGACCCGACCTGAAGACAGGTGGACCCTAAACCCTAAACCCAAACGCCCTAAGTTAAAAGCTAGAAAACCTCTCGACCTGAAAACCCACAGCCCTAAACCCAAACACCCTGAAGCCCCTGTGCTCCAAGAGCTTCGAGTCTGAGGTGCGACAAACTTGACTGCGCAGTCAAGAAGCAGCAAAGGCTCAAGCCTTGGATGCCGGGTTTTAGAGTTTCGGTTCAGGGTTTAGGTTGAGGGTTCAGGTTGAAGGATTTAGGGGTCTGCATGGAATTTCGGAATCTGTTGCTCGAGGCAGTCTACATCATGTAGAAGGGTTACCTATGTTGTTCGTTAGAGCTCCTCATTCTAAGTATACCGTCATACTCGTCTAATTACTTAAGGCCCCTACAGAACATTTACGAGTTTGCATGTTGGAGGATAGCAAGAACAGCAAACAGCCCCAGCAGATGTGAGGAGAGCAAACGGTATTGAGAATATGGCGGTTCTGCATTCAGGCTCCCTCAATCTATCTACCCACCATCGTTTTCTTGCCATTTCATTAAATTGTTTGGCCTTGGCCTTTATTTGCAAGCTGTATGCCTGAATCGCAGTTGCGGGACCCCGATGTCGGAAGCCTCGATCTCCGAGCCACCCAAGGCGCGTATGCGGCTTACCACGGCTATCGGCAGCATGGCATCATTGCAGATTGAAGGGTTGAGGGTTTCAGGGTTTTTAGGGTTTTGGTGTTAAGATTTCGGTGTTTTGGGTTTAGGGTGTTGGGGTTAGGATTTTGAGCTTTTGGGAAAAAGGTTTGGGATTTTGGGTCCCTGCGACCGGGCACAGAAAGATGTCTTCGAGAGACGACGAGCAGCACGAAGCTCGAAGCCGCGACTGGAAGCCTCAGACCTCAGACGGAACTAGTGGAGCAACATCCCTAAACCCTAAGCCCAAAACCCTTCTCTGGCCCTGAAGTTGAGACTGCAGACCAAAAAGATCCAAGCGAAGCCGAGGTTAATGCACGTGGAGGAGCCGTATGTCACCCAGGCTGGGGTCTTGTCTATTCAAGGGGTTCGAGCCTTTATCTTCGATTCGCGACACCACCGCAGCTCGCATGATCATGATCATCATCGTCGTCATCAGCAAGAGCACAGACGTGCAGACACACAAACACACAGAAGCACAATGACACAAAACCTTTCCTTCTGCAGAATTGAGCGTAGCTGCCTAGGGTAACCTAGCCTTAACCTTTCCAACAGACAGTACTTCAGCAGTAGATTCGTCCGCAGCAGACCTGAGCAGGCGCACCCTTGGATGAACAAGCTCATCGCCATTCAGCAAAACTTGGAGGCCGCAGATGTTGTGTTTTGACATTGCCTTTGCCTGACTTGATGTTGACGTTCATGCTACATCTGGTGTGTTTCCTATGCAGTAGCATCCCTTAACACTTTACTCGAAGCCCAAAGCACTAGAGCACCAAACCCTTGGCTTTCCATGACCGCACTGCCAGGTATAAAAAGTTTTTCAGTTAAAAAACACTGAACCTTGTTAGCAGACCAGAGGCCTGCCACATCACGTACGGACTCGATTCGTCTTGAAAGTTTTGGCAAATTCCCGAGCTCACAGTCACAGTACAGCGTTTTGGGTTTAAGGAAGGATTGGTTCATGGCTTGGGGTTAGGTGTCAAATGCACATCGCCATCAGCGAAGTTCAAGACTGCAGGGCTGCAGGGCAATTTGCAGCCACCCTAAACCCTAAACCCCATGGAAGGCCTTTGACTGGCTCTTCTGGGTTGATTGCGACCTCTTCTTCATGAATCCGAAGCTGGGGCCCCAGAATCCAGACATCTCCGAGCACAGAGCCCTGAAGCTCAGCAGGAAGACGGTGGACTCGCTGATCTATGCAGCCCTGGAGAGGAGATCGGGCCCTGAAAGTCGAGAGACCCTAAACCCTAAACCCCAAGTGCTAGAGCGACCAGGCTCTAAGTTTGAGGCCTCGGTTCCCCAACAGCCCTGATATAGGGGCTTGAATCATTAGAGTCGAGATTTAGGGTACCTCATGCTCTAAGGCTTCGGAGTGCAAGTTTCCGCCAGGACCCCCGAGGCCTCGCTGCTTATCGCGGAGGACGGAATGATGTAGCCGCCTCAGGTGGGAAGTTACGAGAAGGCAAAGGATCATTAGCAATGTTTCCTCAATGTCCCTCTAGTATTATAGTAATACAGCCTGATGTGCGCCCGAAGCCTATCCCCACATTACAAAAAAAGAAGTGTTGCTGTACAAGCGCTGACCTGCATTTTCCATACTAGGCAGAGTGCGAACAGAATTGTGCGCATTTCGAAGGAAGGTTACCACATGGGAATGCTCACCCAAAGTTAAACCCAAGGCCCTAGGCTCATCCAAACCCTACAGCACACTCTGCACTCTGCTCTAAACCCTAGCTCCTAAACCCGAAACCCTGTACCTGAACCCGGCCCCACACCCTCAAGCTCGAAACTTGCGCTCTGAGTTCCCCTTTTGAGAGGTTGAACAGCGGCTCGTTCCTTCTTCGCCACAACGACTGGGGCAAGGCCCTTTCTGCTCTGCTTTATTGAAGCTGAAACGGGTCTTGCCTTGACTCCAGGACTTTCTTGCGAGAACAGCGGGGATCCCAGTGTGACTGCAGGGTTTGGGGTTTGAAGGTTTGAGGTTTTAGGCTTATTGGCTGAGTTGAAGTCTAAGATTTAGTGCTATTCAAGCTTCCAAATTTTCGGGTTTCAGGTTTGGGAGGGTTTTGGGGTTGGCGGCTTCAGCTGCCAGCCCGCAGCACCACGGAGAGAAGTTCCGCGCCGGTGGCACATACGCAGGAGCACTGGCAATGTCATCGTGCTGCGTGGCTCCCTAGGCTAGCTTGCCAAAAGACACATGAGCGAAGCAGGGACAGTGAGTCCAGGCACCCGATTTTGAAGGTCTTGACTAAGCCCAAGAAGCCTGGATTGAAATTTGTTCGAAGCCCAAAGCTCAAGCACTCGGATCCTGAGCCATGGCGTGCGCCACGGCTTTTCTTGTTTTGCTGGGCCTTAGCAGCACGGCGGAAGTTCCCTGGCACGAAGCACAGGCTGTTGTAGATTCCAGAATTGCTTTCGCAGGTAGGTAGGGCCAAGAATCTTCATGAACACGTCTCCCGGCATGGTGACCACATGCATCGCAGCGGCCACACGACGAGGATGGTTACAGACCAATGCCGTGTCCAAATCAATATTTTGCAAGTGCGGAAGTCTGGCGTTGTCTGTATCCGCCAGTATCTAACACAGCATCATGTCTTCGATGATTGTAGCATGAACTTCGCCTTCGGTGGGTACGTAGTTTCAGAAGAACACTGATGCCGTTCTACAGCGGGCGGAACCAAAAGGCCACAACTTAGCCTGTGCAGATTCACCGGCTGCCCCTCCATGAGTTAATGCGCATGGCCGGAGGAGGATGGATGATGCTTAGGCGAGAAATTCCGGTGAAGTCAGCCCACAAAAATGGGGGGGTTTCCTGATGGTGTGCCGTGCTGCAGCAATACTGCCTACATGCAGCAATGCAACAACATATGTCAAATTGCTTAACATGTGTCAGGCACCGAAGCAGAAGCTGCAACTGTGGTCGTGCCTATTGGGTCTCTCAAGGCCCATGCGAATGACGTGTGGGCTATTTATTCATCACTGCTATTTCTGAGACCTGGAGCCCGAAGACCCCCGAAGACCTGTCCTAAACTCAGGCTTTGCCGACTCTGCGACCAGGGGACCTGCTCTTCGTGCACAGGAGGGTTTAGGGTGTCGGGCTTTTTGGAGTTTAGGGTCCTGGAGTTTTGGAGTTAGGGGGGGAGGGAGTTCAGCGTTAAATTAGAAAAGGGTTTCGGGTTGTACTATGCCTTAGCTTTTATTAAGGAACCCTAAGGAATGCTGAGTTGCCATTTTCTAGCTATCAATGCCCCTGTGTTACCTCGCTGGGTTCTGGCTGCTGGCTGCAGACATTCATCCACATGAGTGCGAAGGTTCAACAGAGACGTTATGGAATAGTTTGAAAGAAGTTGGTGGCAACCACGGAATGTTTCATCAGTCACACACAGGTCTACAAGGCAGGTCGCTGAATGTCGGCGCGTTCGTAATGCTCTTGTGTTTGTGTTGCCATTTGCTGAAGACATGTTTTCCACGCGGTTCCAACACATCATCCCAGTCATGTTCACTTTTCCTGCACAGCTTGGCAATTTGTGCCGCAAGTAATCGTGCGACACCTGTTTCCGGTGAATCGGGGGTCGGCTGGACAGGGTTCTCCCGAATTTTGTTGGCATGCGCGGTGGGATATGGTGGGAGAACCCAGAGACTCTGGGGGCCCCTTGATTAAGGATATACCTTAAAGCATAAAAGGAACCCTTAATGAGAGCCAAGGTATATTCCTTAATTAAGGGGTGTGGGAGTCTTGAGGCTTTGGCAGCTGCCAGTTGCCAGTTCTTACAGCCAGAGAAGGGCCAACTCGGAATCGCCCGCGATTTCCATGGCTCATGTGTGAGCACTGCCCCGGAAGCCAAAACCTCTGACTCTGAATTCCTAAACCCTACAACTCATGATTCTCCAAATTGTCGAACATTTCAAGGTAGTTTAGTAGCTTTGCCCTTCCAAAGCTCCGAAACCGCACTTCTTGCTGTGAGCATTTACCGTTTAAGGCATAGAGCTTAGTGAGCTATTTCAGATCAGCCCTGGACATCGCCAGCACCAGGCCTATGAATGCTTCGGATCCGCTGAGTCGCGCCATTGAGGCACCTGGGCCGGGTGGAGTTTCTGAAAACTTTCTTGGTTCTAAGGTTCAGGGAAGTCTAGGGGTTAAGCCCTATGTTTTATGGCTGGTGATGTTTTCACACTTAAATGGTCCGGCTCCATGAGCGGATGAGGACAGCGTGAGCCTGAGAGAAGCCCGCAGGCATCGCAGGTTTGAAGTCAGGCCGAGGTTCAGGGTTTACAGGGTAAGTCATATAGGGGCCTTAATAATTGCCTGTAGTATGTTGGGGGGTTCCTTATCCTTGTTATAGGATAATGGGCCCTAAAACCCTATTCTTATTATTATAAGGCCCCTATATTATCCAATCCGATTGCTGACAGGCCACCGGCCAGGCCACAGTCAGATGGCTGGAGGCACACGGCCTCTCGGCTCCCTAGCAGCCTTGTTGTCCAGCCACCTTCTGAGAGCAGCGCGCATTGTCGGGCCAAGATAGGGAGCATGCCCTCAGCTGAATTCCGGATAGCAGCATAAGCCAACGGTGTAATCTTTTGTGGCCGGTGGCTGGCAGCCTGCTACTTATAGCGCTTATGTCTATTGATTTTAGGGTTCAGAGTTGTTGGCTTGGGGTTTTCTGGTTCAAGGTTTGCAGCTCAGGACGTCAGATCCTCAGACGAGACACTGCGGCGCATGTCGCCATGGCCGTCAATGGAACGACAATTGTCCAGGCCGCCATCGGGTCAGAGAGCGTGAAAAAGCGGTCAAAGAATTAGGAACTGTACCCCCCATGTTTCTACTAATAAATCATCAAGGACCCTACATTACAGATTCTTTGCAGCTGCTGTTGTTGTCCTACAGAAGATCCAGACAATTGAGTACTCAGTGTCGAAGTTAAAGTAACACAAACTTCGTACTGAGCTGAAGCAGAGAAGCCATCCAGCTGTTTTGTCGAAAGGCAGGGACGCGAATTGTTCGAAATGCATTGCCTTTATCCGCGATCAAATATCAGGTGGCCTAATACGCACAAGCTGACGCATGGACCCCAAGTGTGGCAGAACTAGTATTGGCAATTGAGGTTGCATAATTACCAAATGGTATTTATGCTATTACCGCTATATCAACTGGTGCCAGGCCGCATCTGACGTCGAAGCCATCGGCTTGCAGCAGTGGTGGCGTTATGGCCGCAAGCAATGGCATGAACAGATATCGGGGCTACTGTGCTTACACGAATGCTGTGACCTAATTCGCAATGTGACGGTTTTTGATCTGCAGGGTTGATTTACAACTCAACATGACACCCCAAGAAAAGATTAGTGAGAAAAGGATTTCATCCAAGGTCATCATACGGCGCTGGAGCCACGATCTTTGTTGGGGCAGCTCGGAAAAACAAGCACAGCCCCAATTTGTACAGTGAACCAATGGGTCCTTCCAGTCATGGTTAGGGTTCAGGATGACCTGCGGTCCAGATGAGATGACACAAGATCATCATGTTCACCTCCACCGGAAACACAATCAGCAGGGCGACATCACCATCGTCATCGCCTTCCTCTTCCTCGCAACGAGTAAAGAATGTAGAAGCCTAGACAATTACCCATATTGTTCTTCAGAGCTCCCAATCATTACTCTACTGTAGTTCAGACTTACTCACATTATTCCTGATAGTTCCCATTTATGATTATGCTCTACCTCATATTGCGGCTTCTATCGTCTGAGCCTAACGATGTCCCTCAGGTCCCAGCGAACCTTGCACGCAGCGGACTGTCCTTGCCCACACAGCCGTTACAACGAACCCTATGACCTAGATTTAGGGTTTAGGATTTAGGACTTAGGCTTTAGGGTTTAAACTCAACCCCCAGACTGCACTCGCCGCAAAAGTCGCTAACACGTTTCGAGGAGGCGGAGAGAGTCTGCTGGCACGTAAACAAGAAGTCGGGAATAGTTGAAGACAGCATTCCCTTATCATCCCAGTATGGTTACGGTATAAGCCCAGACTCGCTTCTAACTATTAAGACCCCATGTGTTATCTACGGCCAGGGTTAAGACCATTGTGTGTTGCCGCCGCTTCCCAGGAGCTTCCCGCCGCAGATGAGGCTCAGCCGGAGCTTACTTTCTTAGACATTACAACCTATGAAAATGCGTACATGCATGCATGCATGGATGGATGGATGGATGGATGGATGGATGGATGGATGGATGTACGTATGTATGTACGTATGTATGTGTACGTATGTATGTATGTATGTATGTATGTATGTATGTATGTATGTATGTATGTATGTATGTATTGTGTTTTCATTGTACGGTATTATATTAGGCCAAGATGCAGAGGATTATATTCGTTGTTGCTGCTCATGGTGATGATCACTATTTTCGCCCATTACCGTACCGATGAAACAATCAATCGATTCTTGACGGCTTCGCACGGGAATCTCTCAACCTGTAGAAGCGTCATCCTTTTGGACCGTGTTGTGTTTGGAGTATCTAACCGGTTTGCATCCTGCGACACTGGGCCAGATTCACCGTCTAACAGCGTTTCTACCCTGGCCGGTGGTCCTTCTGAGCGTGGTCACTGCTTCTTCGTTTGTGTTCATCTTGATTCAAGTACCCCTGTCCATGGCGCTGTTGTTCCGATTACCTTTGCCACCATGCTAGATCGTGCTCTTGGTCTTGTCCATCTTCACTCGAATACTGCCATTTCGTGCCGTGACCATCACTGTCAGCTGTGGTGATTTGCAATTGGGATACCATCTCTGGCGCTCCCAATGCTGGTACCACTGAGTACTTGTTGGAAGGCAACTCGACAGCATGCCGCTGCCTGGGCACTGGCCAAGGTAGGCGATCCATATGCTCAAGACTTCCAGGCCATGTGGGAAAATTCATGAGCTCAAGAACAACAGGGAACAAAAAGATAGCGAATATCCACAGTCAACAACTCAACAATTACGATCTGTGCAAACCAATTGCGGCAGCAGTTATAGCCCCAGACAGGAACGACCTAAGCAAATGCGAGTGCAGCAACAGCTTCGACATCCTCTGTTCTCTTCGCATCAGACCAGTTACTACAGCTTTTAGCGGTCGCGGAGGGAATCTTCTGAAAACTTGTGAAGCAGACCTGTAAAGTGTACTGACTGCCGAAAGGTGAGAAGCACGAACACACACAACCCGGCATTAACTGAACACCACCCTGCAGCCGCCAACGCTGGGGCGCGAGAGCTACTATTGCTTCTTGCCTCAAGTGTGAGCTGCCATCCCTAGACCCTAAACCTATAATGTTCGTCATCCTACGGACCACTGCATTCGTTTCGGCGATAGCAGAAGCAAATACGGGCTCCGCAGACTGAGAGACTGTGGCGGGGCTCTGATGTGCAGTAGAATATGTCGAAAAATATTGTATATGATGTAGTATAGTACACTTACTCAGTCTCAATTCTCAAAGGGGCTGTCTGCATGGGCTTACTCAGGCTCGAGCCTAGTCGACTACGCGTACCGCTTCGCCTTTGGCCGTCTCTCTGCTGTTTCAGATAACCGAAGACGACTCTTCGGAGATAGCGCAGTTTCCGAGTGCTGATATTGTCGCTATGAAGGCCGTCAGTCGCAATCACTCGTACAGTAAAGAAAGGGCAAGAGGGGGTGCAGTGCCAGGTCCAGACACAAGTCCTGTGCAATTATATGCATCGTGTCTCTATAGGTATATGTAGCCATACATAAACGTAGATTGTTCATACATATGATGTGTTTATGTACGTACCGGCTGGTAGACCGACTCTCTCTGCCATGAAGCCATCGTCGACCGACAGCGCACAGAGTGATAAGTAACTACACCACAGATACGACGACTACTGCTACCCCTACTCACTACTACTACCACTACTACTTCTACTACTACTACCACTACTACTACTACTGCTGCTACTGCTACTGCTACTACTACTACTACTACTGCTGCTGCTACTACTACTACTACTACTACTGCTGCTAGTATACTACTGCTACTGCTACTGCTACTGCTACTGCTACTACTACTACTACTACTACTACTACTACTACTGCTACTAACACTGACAGTGACGCTGGT